ACTTATATAGCGATATGGGAAAAAATTAATGGATTTAAGCATATTCATTGACATTTACAAATATATTTTTGAAAAGATAAAGTACTGGTGAAAATTGCCATATTCCTGTTATTAACCTATGTATTTTTTTATTTGAATGTGCAAAACTCTATATTAATAAGATCTCAGGAATGGTGATTGTAGAAAGGTTTCAGGGACAAGATCTATGCTGTAGGTTGGGCGGTGCAAGATTACCCAATATATTTCCAGTGAGAGCCTCCTCTGTCCTTGAAGAGTGAGTAGGTTTATTGTTGCTATGAAAAAAGGAAATCATTGGCTCCACTTCCCTGCCCTTTTTAAAACAAGGCAGTTTTCAATTTTCTTAAAACGTTTTCAAAGGCACTTTCCAGTTTTCTTAAAACATCTTCAAAATAAGCCCCTGTAATCACTCCCATGGTGATTCAAGGAGTCCTACCAAACTCAATCTGCGAGAATCTACTCCCTGCTCCCATTCCCTACAAAGCAGTTGCCAGACCCTTCTGAGTTGAGTTTTCTGTCTTGAATATCAGTTGCCTAGCAAATCTCCTTGGAAACCATTATTTTGATTGAACCTTAAAAATTTTTTTTGGAAGCAATCCTTAGGAGACTAAGAAAAGTATATTATACTTACCTGGCAGGGAAGATACCTTGATCACAAAGGTGGTGTTCCCAGGGTGAGGTTTATCCATTGCACTCCGGATGTGCTGACCCCTGCGATTTCCTCAAATGTGGGAGTCTTGACTGCCCAATGTGTGGTAGTGGGGGGCTTCTTTTGCACACTCCCTTGGGGAGAAAAAGTATATTACTGAAATAACTTGTCTTCAGTCATCTGCTGATCAGAGATTCATGCCTAAACTTAATTTGTTTAGAATAAACATATATGTATGTACTAGGACCATAAGAGTAATATTGATTTTTACTTACCCTCTTAGAGGTTACCTAAAATTGCCTTTAAAAGTATATACAATATATACTCAAATATAAGCCGACCCAAATATCAGCTGAGGCACCTAATTTTACCACAAAAACTGCATTAAAAACATGCTGAGAAAACTCGGCTTATACATAAGTATATATGGTAATCTATACTGATTTCAAACAAGTACAAATTTGTTCATATAAAAGATATGCTATCATTCAAATCAAGCTATCAAAGTGCCTGCTTTCTAGGGTCCTTATGTCATGTGCTTTCATAATGGTACATGATATATAAAGTTTACTACTACTTTCTTGTTTTATTTTTAGGCCATCATCTATTCCTAGAATAACTTCAAATAATTCATTTTTAATGTCCTTTGTAAATTTACCAGAACCCTGGTGACACAATAGTTAAATGTTCAGCTGCTAACTAAAATGTCAGCAGTTCAAACCCCCAGTCACCCTATTGGAGAACGACGTGGCGATCTGCTTCTGTAAAGGTTGACAGACTTGCAAACTCCTGTAAGGTCACCGTGAGTCGGAACAAACTCGACGGCAATAGATTGGTAAGAACCCTTTCCCGCTTTTGTTATGTACTAAAATGAGGTTAAGTCAATCCAGACAAATGTGATTGAAAATTCTGGTAATGATGTTTCAAGCAACAACAAGACCAAAAAAGACAGAAGTTAGCATTGTTTCCCCTGACTTCAAAGGACTTCACAATGTTACCTAGAGAATGGAAACTTGGAGAAACGATTTTTTAAACCAAATGTTATTGAACATGAAAGAAGGGGTGAATAAGGCTTTAATGGAGAATATAAGTGTGATCACAGCTTTAGGAAGCCTTTCAATCACGTTTGTGGGTTCACGGTCTGACATCCTTCTGCTTTAACTTTTATTCCTAAAATATATGGGCAGGCAATGCTGTCTACTGTGAAAAACTAAAGTAAAATAAAATGAAAGGACATCAGCCCCAAAGGAAAGTAGGAAGCTTGGCCGACACCCTGAAGTAGACACTGCTGCTTCTCTGTGCGATAGCTAATAGCAGGGCTCACATAATCAAGAGCACAGCACTAGAGAAATGACGCGCATGGGGAGTAGAAAAATGATTGCCAAGCGATAGACATTGTTGAGAAGCTATTCAGTGTGGTGCTGGTGGCCCATTTTTGTGTCTCCTTTATACCTTCACACACATTTTTTTCCAGTGAGTGCAGAGCTCTTGATCTTCTTTGGTTACTTCTGATAGATACTGAAAGATTTTTTTTTATCATAGAAAATATAGGACATAAACATCCTGATGCAGACTCTCTTAAATTTTCACTTTTTCTTTCCAGTACTGATCTTACTATTGCTGCCTTTAGGCTCTCTGTCTTAAGATGATTACCACCTCTTTTAGCATCTTTCCCTGCCTCTAATGTGGAGAGAAGAAAATCTTCTGTTCTTTTTATGCGTTATTTCTTAACTTTGCAACCTCAATTATAGCTGTATACCACCTCACTCCTCATTCTGTATACCCTGAACTATATATACATATATATGTGCATCTAGATAGATAGTACTAGAAATTTCATAAGGAAAAGTTTATTGATTTACTGATTTACTTAAGTCCAGGGTTCTGGAAAGTTTTTGAGAAAGACAGAATGGGGTATTTCCCTTTGATACCTGTTTTTTTAATGATCTTACCCAAACTATCTTATAATGTTATAACACTGATACTGTTTCAAAAGTTATACATTTCTTTGAAGAGAGAAAATAAGTATTACTTTTTTTTAGGTTAAGATAAAAATTTTTGGTGACAAAGCTGGGACTTCAATGATCATTTTTAAATTTAGCCTTTAGCATAATCCATTCACTTTAGAATGTTATGAGAAATGGCTGTTGACTAGAGATTTCAGTTGTAAACAATGGAAACAAGACTAACTCTAGCAACAAAGCAATTTGTTATGAATTGTTTATTCGAAAGAATTAGGAGAGTTCAATAAGAATATGTGGGTCCTCACAGAGACTCAGAGAGAAGCTCAAAGAAATAAGAACAAGTAAGATCCTGAATCAGGAAAAATCTCCGCAGTATACTGTCTCTGGTGCCACCCCACTAGATATCTGCAACCACACCTGGATACTTTCACCGCCCCAGAATCCTGTGCAAAGTAATGGGATGCTTCCTGTGCTTTTGAATCACCCTCTCAAGATTCAAAATCCCCCCAAAAATTGACTAGTGGGTTTCACCCATGTTACATAATAACAGTTTTCCAGCCAGGTGTTGGGAAGAAAAAAACATGTGTCCTCCTTAACGTAAGGGGGACCAAAGAGTGGAGCTGGGATGACAGTATTAAAATATCCAATATTCACTATAATAAGAATCCATGAGATTTTGGGCCATTGGAGATTAAAAGTATTAAGAGGTGTCTAGTGATACACATATTTACTATGCCCTGCATTTGATTCAACTACCAAATTGCTTTCTGAAGAATGCTGCTATTTCATCCTATTCTTGCAAATCTCCATATCTGTGTCAGAGAGATTGTCCCAGATTTTAAATGCAGAAACAAGAACTGTTTCATATATATATGAATTTAAAAATGATCATTGAAGTCCCAGCTTTGTCACCAAAAATTTTTATCTGAACCTAAAAAAAAAAGTAATACTTATTTTCTCTCTTCAAAGAAATGTATAACTTTTGAAACAGTATATATATATATAGCAGCTCTTGTAATATACAGTTATTTTTAATATAAATTATGCAAATATATACACTTATATGCTTAATTTATCACTCTGGGGACCTGCTTAATTTGTATATATAGCCACTCCATTATGCCTATCTACAAGCCTTGTGCCACTTCTAGAAACAAACCAGTTAGAAAACTGTCCTATTACTCCTTAATCATCAACATATCAGTTCTAGAGATGGAAGTACAACATACATTTCTTCTAAAATTATTATTGTTCAATTTGCATAGATTTAAGACTACAAAAACCAAAACAAATTAACTCCCTCGGGTCAAGACTAGACCCCAAGACTTGCCTTTTGCTCACAGTACCAACTCATTTTTCAAGGCTGGAGGGGGCTCTCTGCTAGATAGACATTGGGTAGCCTTGTACCGCTCACTCTACAGCACTGATCTTGTCCCTTCACACTATTTTTTGTTCCCCAAACATAAAGAACACTTGAAAAGAACACTCAAGAATGTCAAGACTGCTCTTTTGATAATGTGTAACTCAAAAGACACAGAATTCCTCAGAAAAGGGATAGGAGATGAATGTATAAACCTAAGAGAGCTATGTTGAAAAATAATAACTTTACCATGGACATTTTTGAGAAATGTGTCTCTGATTTTTGTAGCAATAGTTTTAGACTCACCGTCATATTGGTCTGCATTAATATTTTATGTTAACATTTATGCTTATTTATTAATGCTTTTCAAACATTTCCTAGGACCTATTCTGCCTATGTTTGACTCCTGAATCATCTGAATGTTATTGTTCCCACACTAAAATTAGTCTGCTTGCCTCTGGAAGATGTTTTAGCTGCATGTATCAACAATATTACCATACCCTGTCTGATTCCCAAAATTGTCAGTGATCATTATCACTTATACTTAGATGCAAAGAAAGAACAGTTTGATTTTTAGAGTGAAGATTAAACTTCAACAGAGATCCAACAAATCTTGGTTTGACTTGTTTAGTGAGCACATGTGCTATGTAAGGCACAGATGGACAGAAAATAAGAAACAGTGGAATATCATTTTGTGAAGACCTTTGTGTGCCCAAACCCAAACTATAAACCCCAGTCAGTGCATAACTATAAAGTTAAAAATACATACAAAAGTTTGATTTGGGGTATGACAACAAATTAAATTTAATTCCTCTCACATGCATTTCCTTCATGAGTTTTTGTGGCTGTTAGAAGGCATTGAGCCCATCCCCACCCATCTCTTCACAGTTGTCCCAGTGCTGGTTCCCAATGTTGGAGTGCCAATTCATCCCCTTGAGGGCCTTCCTCGTTTTCCACTGTCCCTCTACTTTACCCAGCATAATGCTTTATTGTTATGAAAATGGCATTGATTCAAGAGCGACCTGGAGCTGATTCCTGTCCTAGAACTGCCAGTCACAAGAGTGGACCCAAGTGGTAGCTCAATCTAAGTACATCGTGGACAAGCATGTACAAGCAAAATGCTCCACTACAGTGAGCATTCTGGATAGTCCCATATTTACTACACACCCAGGGAATTTAAATTTTTTTTGTCATAAGCAGAATCCCTAGTGGCACAGTGGTTATGTGTTGGGCTGAGGTTAGACACCACCAGCCACTCTGCAGGGAAAAGACCGGGCTTTCTTCTCTTGTCAAGTCTTCCATACAGGCTCAGAAACACACAGGAGCAGTGCTACCCTGTCTGATTGGGTCTCTAAGGGTTGGGATCGACTTGATGGCAGTGAGAGTGTTTTAGTCATAAAACCTGAGTTATGAAAATATCTGTAGCAGTGTTATGCATTGAACTGTGTACTCCCAACACATGCACGATAAGCCCTAATCCTCTTATCTGTAGAAGCAATCTTCAGGCCACAATGGTTAAGTGCTCAATTGCTAACCAAAAGGTTAGAAGTTTGTACCTACCAGGTGCTCCTCAGGTAAAAGTTGTGTCTCTCTTCACCTTTAAAAATTATTCCCTACAAACCCCTATAGGATCACAATGAGTTGGCATTAATAACATACAACAATAATGAGTCAGAATAGATTGATAGTACATTACAACAGACTTGTGGATGCAGTCCCATTGGGAACTAGGGGTTTCTTGTTATCTAGGCCACTATTAGTGTGGGTGTGTTTGTAATCCGATCCTTTCTGAGATATAACAAGAGCATTTTAGG